CGACATGACTGTATTCAGTACACCTACAATGTCATCGTCCTCATTTGAACTCGTGGGTCTCGGGGATCTCCCCCAGTACAAATCAGAGACATCATCCGACTACCCTTCCCAGACCGAATCCCCAACCGTTTTCATGCCCGTCATGCGTCCGCCTACCCCGGCTCCATCACCACGTCCTATCTCCCCAACACAAAGTCTCATCTCATTCTCCACTTCACTTGTTCCGCAGGTCGAATCCCCTCCTTTCCAAGCCCTCCTTGATGAATTTCAGTCTCTAGGATCCATCTCCCGACAAGAATATCTAGTCACGCTCCTCTCGCACTGTTCTTCTCGCGAGCTTTTTTTTATATCTACACGTATTGCACCTCTCCTTAAGCGCGACTTTCTCGCAGACCTACCAATAGAGCTTTCTCTCCACATTCTCAGCTTTGTCGATCATCCACGCACGCTTGCGCGCATCGCGTGCGTCTCGCGCAAATGGCACGCTCTCGTACAAGATGAGCAGGCGTGGCGCGGACTGGCGAGCGCGTACCATTTTGATCCTGCCTTGCATGGCCCATGCGAACCTGATACGGATGAGGGCGATACAATAGGTGTTACGCATTCGCAGATCCCCAATGTGCTGACGCTCCCCCGTCTGCCTCGCCCTCCACGCGCCCTCCAACAGGCGCAGAGTTCGCAAACTCTCTTTAAATACGCATGGTCTACCTGTATGTTCCCCGCCGTTCCGTGGTTCTCTTTCCTGAGTATAGCATATTCTAATGCTGCCCTCACCCGACAGTGGTCAACTGGAAGCGCGGTGGCCGTTGCCTACACGTACACCGCATCCCCGTCATTGACCCCGATAGCGGGGTAGTCACCTCCGTTGCACTCGATGCAGACTGGCTCGTTGCGGGGCTTGCGAATCACCGTATCCACGTATTTTCGACTCATACGGGCTCGCTCGTACGCACCCTCGTCGGACACGAGCTTGGCGTATGGGCCGTCGACCTCGTCTCGCGCGGCGGCGCACTCGATTCCTCTCATCCCCAACCTCCCCCGCACAACCCGAGTGGTTTGGCAGCGAGTGGTGGCGGTATCCCCGAGGTTGTAGATGGCCCCTCCCTACTTTTACACAACCGAGCGCCGGCTGGCGCACAGGTCCTTGACCCACAAGGGCTTGACCATCTCTTACCGCCATCCATGCGCGCCGTATTGGCGCTTGACGCACAGTATCCCCCAACGGCGCATACTTATGAACAGGACGACGGTCCTAGTCAGTCTGAGAGCGCACGCAGTGACGTCGCTGGTGCGACGCGCGGATGGGGCCAGCCTGGGGCACTCGTGGTTAGCGGTGGTTGCGACAAAGACGTGCGCGTATGGGACGTGCGGACTGGGTGCGTCTCTCTTTCCCCATATCTATCGTTACTGTGATTCTGACCCACGAACGTGCGTGGATAGTCTCACACTGTACGTCCTTCGTGGACACACCTCGACAGTGCGCTGCCTAAAAGTGATACACAACCGGCCCATAGCGATAAGCGGTTCGCGGGATAGCACGCTGCGCGTGTGGGATGTACAGCGCGGCCGGATGTTACGTATCCTTTCTGGGCACTCGGGCAGCGTGCGTTCGCTGGACGTTTGCGGGAATCGAGTCGTCAGTGGAAGCTATGATGGTACTTGCCGGGTATGTCGCACAACCTACCTTCCAACATTCCGGCGGGTGTATTTCTGGTGGCGCTGATAAGCGGACAGCTCTGGGACGTGGACACAGGCGAATGTCTGCAGGTCTTCCGTGGACACTTCAACCAGATATATGCAGTTGCGTTTGATGGCAAAATCATCGCTTCCGGTGGCTTGGACACCACTGTGCGCGTGTGGGACGCACTTACCGGGTACGCCAACTGAAAGGATTTCTCTCTGACTTGGCCTTAACCCGGGGCCTGGATTTCCAGACACTGCATTGCAATGCTTCAGGGCCATACTGCACTGGTGTGCTCCTTGCAATTGACGCCACACACACTCGTGACGGGCGGGGCAGACGGGCGGGTGCTAGCGTTCGCGTTGCCAGACTTACGCGTACACACACGGATCGCAGCACACGATTCGTCGGTTACATCGCTGCAGTTTGACGAACAGTTCCTCGTCACAGGTGGGAACGACGGTCGGGTGCGCTTGTTTGATGTTGGCTCCGGCGCGTACGTCCGCGATATCACCGCACCGAGTGAAACCGTATGGAAGGTCGTGTTTAGACGCGAGGTATGCGCAATAATGTGTCGCCGAGCAGGAAAGACAACGGTGGAGATCTGGAGCTTCAGACCCCGAGAGGAGAACGGCGAGCGCTTGCGCATCGCAGGGAGGTAAGACGAGCTGAGCGGAGGCAGTGCGTGTACCGGTTTGGATCAAGCGGATGTGATATTGTGTAGTTGTACTGTATCAGGATTTACATCATTGAATTTTTTGATTCCTTCCATCATTGATAGCAATAATGTTTCATGTAGAAAATAAGAAAAGTGGCTCAGGGCTAACATGAAGATCAGACCCAGGGTGTTCGCGTTCAAACCGGCTGAGCTAGTCGACCAATGACTTATCGACTGGCAGCGTGGTATGTATCTCAGGGCGAATGCCGTAGCTGGCGTGACGACAAAAGGGCAGAGCAAAGTTATCAAGCCTCCTGCAGTGAAATGCTAATAAGCAGGTACATCCGAAACGTGGGAGTAGGAGATAGGGCAGCAGTGGGTGGCGCGAGTTTTGGACCAAGTGCAGTATCATCGTGATCGGCCGCCAGTACGTAGGGATGAATATCCTCTTCAGCTTTTGATTCAGACGGACCACTGCACGAGAACAGAAGTGAGTGTTTGACTACAGAAACGAAGAATCGTATATATATTAGTTCGTGTTCATCTTGACCAATACCTGTTCACGACTTCCCGTTAAGGCCATTGGACCGAATCTCCGTCATAGCACTCTCCCCGAATGATTATACAGAAACCGAAGAGGAACATTTGAGATGCAACAAGTCATCTGTCCTGTGCAAATGCACTCACGGAACTTTAGAAGGACGTCCTTGTTTATGCTGGTTTGAGCTCGTCAAAGTCACCAACCCCGGTGTATTACCGCTGTTACGGCAGAGTTTGATGCGGTGTGATCTGCGTGAGGACAAGACGCCGAAGAGAGTAATTTCAATAGAAAACGTACAAAGGTAGACGTTGCTATCGACCAAGACCGGTGCTGTGTTTGTAGACAGTACTGTTTAGACGGACCGGAACATTACTCGGATGGGTATCGACGAAAAACCGGATTGATATGATGATCGACGTTGGCGCGCTCTTCGGGCGCCCCTCCCGGGTTTTCGTGGCCAGCGGTGATTGCCATGAACATCTTATTCATATACAGTACTGAGTCTCGAGCATCGTGAAACTCATCAACAAAGATAAGGAGTGGCCGTGTGGGGTCGTCAAGCCGACAGTAACAACACAGGTGATCTCATTACATAATCAAGTTCGTCTGAAAAAAACGCGTGACAGGGGCTGCGGGGCCTGCGGCGATAAATGTGAAGCGGTGAACTCACCATTCTCAACTTCATTCTCAACCCTTTTCACCCCCTTTCAACTCACGTCCCTTCCTCTCTTTGCTACGATTTCATGTCTGGTTATTCTTCCATATTTTCTGCAGGTCTTCTTGCTACTCCAAGACCCCAAGGCCATCCCAACTCTGCCGATTATGCCACCCCCGACTGCTCCATAAACATGGACAGCGATTCCGACACGACACCCACGAAATTGAATCCCGTACCGACTCCTTCCTCTTCTGAAGACGTGATGAACTACTTCGCGCCGCGCGGTCGTGCGTCGAGCAATGCGAGCGTGACGTCCTCGGTGCTTGGCGGTGTTGGTGCTCCCCGTTTGCGACGGCGACGGAGTAGTTTGAGCATCGCAAATAACGGGTTGTGTGCCGTCAAGAGTCCGCAGCGAAGTGCGGGCATGGCTCTGCAACGCACTGCGCTCATGAGTCCCGGCGGCCGTGCGCGCAGCGGCAGTACAGATAAGGGCTCGGTTGATTTGTCCTACGTTGATGGTGAAGGACACGGGCTAGTTCCAAGCAGAGTAGGCGGTAGACGTTCTCGAAGCGGAAGTACGAGTGGCGCGATCCGGTGAGCAGTAAACCGCCCTTATCTTCCACTCCCTTCCGCTGACTTTGCTCTTTTTAGAGCACGCCGTGCACTCCGCAAGCCACCTCCAGTTCCTCCACCAAACGTACCCCTGCCACCACTCCCCACCACGGTGGCCATGGCAGAGGTTGTACAGCGCCGTCCGCTCCTGCATCGCGCGCGTACCTCCGAAAACTTTCCCCCACTTAATGTTACTACTCTAAGCCTGGATCCGAACTCATCCGCTTTTCTCGCGCCTGCCCTTGATTTCAAGAACAATTTGAAGGCCATGACTGCCAAGAGCAACAGTCCCCCGTCCTCCAGTCCGCTGGCAGAGCTGTCTGCGTTTTGGTGCTCCGGTCCGCGGATGAACGAAAACTGACGATCTGCGTCTCTGTGAGCAGATTGTCTCAAAGCGCCTGAAGACAGGCTCTACGTTTACGACATGTTTTCTGGATGGCACGGCCGCTCTATCTTTGCTCGGGGTTTCCTCGCCTTTTTTTTTCCTGCTCAAGTTACCATATATTCCCACTAATGCTTACTTGCATTTATACCGTCCCATTCGGAACTAGTTGTTATGTTCGCCCGGTATTGCGTTCAAATTTTTCCCCTTTAATGATCCTCATTGACTGAGTACAATCTATTTATAATAATATTCACTGTCACCGAGTACACTGTTTTCTGTTCTGCCCAAATTGTCATGGAACTGCTTGTTTACTCACTTCATTTACCCACTTCATTGGATAATCATAATAATCATTTTAATACTTTGCATCCTATCTGTGGCATGGGGTGTTCACTATGTGGTGTTATTTGTGAAGTTTTGTGTTCGCACATCACTAGTACTGCAAGGGGGAAAAAATAATTATTATGTCCCTGAGCGGATTCGAGCCGCTGGCTTCACGGAATTGCGGTAAATAAGCCACAACGTGATGATTTAACCACTAATCGACAGGGACTTAGGATTGTCTCGTCAATTTGACATATTCATGCAAAAGGGAACCCGCCGCGTGTTGACTTGTTCTTCCGCTTGCTATCTACTTTCACGATGTCTCCCCATGGATCCCGATTCCCAAAACGTGAAAAACCTGACAATGTCACTTCAACATTAATAGCGGTTCCTCATGATTTGTACCCCTGTTAGGCAATCTGACTTTCCCAACGCAAGCCATGACTTCAATTGTTCTCACTCGGTTGTAAGGAGCCCTCTACTTCTTTACTGTTGGCTTTTACTCACATGTACCTGCAGGCGCCGGGTTGCTGTGTGGGGAATGAGAGAGAGGTCCTCAAGGCCTTATTCGGCTTAAGCCAGGTGCAGGCATGTCCTGTAACCTACTGACTCGGAGGCACTGTTAATATTATAATTCGCGCCGCTACCGCATCATCGCCGCGTTACCCAGTTCACCTGTCCAATGCCGAAATGACTCTGCTTCTTCAATGACAGGAATTCGGATTTGTGCTTCCACAGTGCGTTGAAGGTGCGTCTCTCATATGTATTTTACTAATCCCAAATCACGACATGCTCGTGCTGCGCGTTAAGGCCGTCGCGACAGATGGCACTCTTTCACTTCTCCACGTCGTATTCCGAGGAGATCTCGCGAAGACACCTTCCCTGGGTTCCAGGCTCTTGGACGGCTATCATAGCTCAGTGGTGCTCTTTAGCGTGGTCACTTTCACTAGTACTAGTACTGGATTATATTCTATGCATAAACTTGGCTGACTCTGGAAATCGTTCGACGTAAAATCGGCCGGAATCCCCGGGCTCTGTCACGGACGTCTTTCTCTATTTGGATTGTGTACTACCCAAGGTAGCACACATCCATTCATGCTGTCATCACCGTGAGAGGATTGAGAAGGAGTCGGGTGAAGAGAGACATCATCCCCAGTACTGAGAGTCACCACTTGGAGTTCCTTTCGCCTTTGTTCTCCTTCACTTCACTACCATCATCTACTCTTTCTATCGTGAGTGCCCGCCGTCTAAACGATTATGTACAGTGGCGGGGTCGGTTGACTGACTTCACATCTCTTGAAACCTACTTTTGCAAAGGCCGATGCGTGAAGTCATTTCTGTACATGTCGGCCAAGCTGGGGTGCAAATCGGCAATGCCTGCTGTAAGTCGTATTTTAATGCTCCTCGTCGATTCAATAGGTTAATATATGCGCAGGGGAGCTATACACAGCTGAGCACGGGCTGGGTGTGAGCTCAACAACCTAAAAACCCTTCGCGCACGAGTCTAACGTGCTCTTCGTTGTTCTTAGCCGGATGGCCGTCTTCAGAGCGGTGACAACGTGCGAGGAAATGGTGCCGATGGCTTTAGCACCTTTTTTTCGGAAACGTCGTCGGGGAAATACGTCCCACGTTCTCTTTATATTGATCTGGAACCCAATGTCATAGACGAAGTCCGAACGGGCAAGTACCGCGAACTCTTCCACCCAGAGACGATGATCACCGGGAAAGAGGACGCTGCGAGCAACTGTGAGCACAGACACTCTATGCTTTCACGGTTTTATGGCGTGTGTTTGAACGGATCGATAGATGCTCGGGGTCATTACACTGTCGGCAAGGAGAAGATCGACGTCATTCTTGATAAGGTCCGGCGTCTTGCGGATAACTGCAGTGGCCTCCAGGGATTCTTTGTTTTCCATTCCTTTGGCGGCGGCACTGGTTCCGGACTCGGAGCCCTCTTATTGGAACATCTTTCGACCGACTACGGGAAGAAGTCGAAACTGGAATTCTGCGTGTATCCGGCACCTCAACTCGCCAACTCTGTCGTCGAGCCGTACAATTCCGTGCTGACGACCCACACGACCTTAGAGCATGCCGACTGCTCCTTCATGGTGAGTCGACTGTTGTCATGTGAGCACCCTATAATGAGCCATTCGTTTCAGGTTGACAACGAAGCGATCTTCGGGATCTGCAAAAAGTACCTCGGGATTTCCCAGCCGAGTTTCACCAATTTGAATCGGCTGATCGCTCAGGTCGTCTCTTCGATCACTGTTTCTCTTCGCTTTACCGGTTCCCTGAACGTCGATCTGAACGAATTCCAGACGAATCTCGTCCCGTTCGTCTTTTTCTTTTGTCTTGTCTCTCGACGACCGCTCCTTAACCAGACTGTTGACCCGCAGCTTTCCGCGTATTCATTTTCCTCTTGCCACGCTTTCACCCATCGTACCTGTAGACCGAGTGCAACACGAGATGAACGATGTTGCCAATATCACCGCTGCCTGTTTCCAGCGCGGCAGCCAGATGATCAATTGCGACCCGATGGAGGGAAAATACAGTAAGTCATTTCTTCTTGATCTACGGCGGTTTTAACAGTCGGCCACAGTGGCCTGTGCGTTGCTCTACCGGGGTGACGTTGTCTCCAAGGATGTTAACGCTGCGGTCGCCCAGCTGAAGACTCGCCGCACGATCCGATTCGTTGACTGGTGTCCGACAGGTTTCAAGATCGGTATCTCCAACGAGCCACCAGCTCACATCCCCGATGGCGATCTGGCTCGAGTGGTTAGGAGCGTCTGTGTGCTGTCCAATACGACTGCCATCTCTGATGCGTGGACTCGGCTGGATCGTAAATTCGACCTGCTTTACTCTAAGCGGGCTTTCGTCCACTGGTATGTTGGCGAGGGAATGGAAGAGGGCGAGTTCTCGGAAGCAAGGGAGGATCTCGCAGCCCTTGAGAAGGATTACGAAGAAGTGGGGCTTGACTCGGCGGATGTGGAAGAGGAGGCAGAGTATTAGGCACATCTTTTCGTTTTTTCCCTCTCGTTTCTTCACCAATCTTTCCGACTGTCACTTTTGTCTCTGCGCACGCATTCAATCCTCTTTAGATTCGTTGTCGTGTCGATACGATGCCTATCGCAATGTACCACTCCGTCGTTGAGTTTACTGTTGGCTGAGCACGTACAGCCGGCCATTAGCTAGTTCCCTCATGTACATAGGATAGAGAACGTGTACGCACACGGCACACCTTGACCAGCTTGACCTCTCACGCCCATGAGGTCCTTTCCCAGAGGGTTCTCCTCCTCAGACCGCTACAATGTTAGGCGGAATACTTTTAAGTTATTTACAGTAAATATAATTTGCAATAACAGTTGTGTAAATCTTATTTGTCAATTTATTCTTACCCGCTCCGCTCCTGCCCGCGTGCCAACGTTTACCGGTTTACCATTTGCCGACTTGTTGAAGTTGCCATTCGGTTGTTCAGTCACCGTCACCCGGCCTTCCAGAGAACTAATGATTTTGCAGCGCTGCATCTTTCCGTCCTCAAACCTAGTGCAAGTCTTCGTTATTTTGCAGGATTTCGCAAAGTGTCAACCAACTCGGATGCAAACATCGTAAGCGCTCTATTTGCCACCTCACTGGCCTAACCTTCCATTCCGACTTATCATGCATATGCTTGCTAACGCAGCCTCTGAGACGAACCTCACTTTATGACTTTCATATTAAACATGGTGCAAAGATGGTTCCCTTTGCGGGTTATCATATGCCCCTAGTCTATGGCGACGTTGGCCAGGGTTGCGTCCCTTTCAATTTTCCAAAATTAAATTCTCTGATGTTGTCTATAGTTGCCAACCATCAGCATGTGCGACAGAGCGCGGGGCTCTTTGATGTCGGACATATGGTACAGTCCAAGTAAGCGTTCAGTTGTCCCTGTTTCCCAGTTGAATATAGCAATGCCCATCGTCTAGCTTCCGCGGCGCCACTGCAACACAATTCTTGGAATGGTTGACTCCATCGTCGCTTTCGACTCTAGCACCGTACACATCCACCTTATCTGTGTTCCTCAACGAACGCGGCGGCATCATCGACGATACCGTAATCACCAAGCACGCGTCAGACGCGTTTTACGTAGTCACCAACGCCGGTCGGCGCGTGGAGGATTTAGCTTGGTTCGCGGCACGACTGGCTGAGTGGAACGCCAGCGAGCGTGCGAAAGACGGTCCAGTAGAGCACGAATTACTGGATGGATGGGGATTACTAGCACTTCAGGGTACGTCATATCTCACATGCGCTCTTTCGGAGGTCAGCCTTGATGACCTCGAAAAATAAACAATAGGCCCTGCTTCGGCTGACCACTTGCAGGCCTTGACGTCGTACGATTTACGCGCTTTGGCTTTCGGGAGAAGCGCATTTGTTCCACTGGAAGGAATTAACGTGCACGTCGCACGTGGTGGGTATACCGGTGAGGACGGCTTCGAAGTCAGTCTCCTCGTTACTTCTTGCAGCCCATTTGATTTCCTTCCTGACGCTCGATTAGATTTCCGTTCCTCCTGCCCAAGCTACTTTCCTCGCGTCAGCGCTCCTCCGCTCGCCAGTTCAACTCGCTGGTCTTGGCGCACGTGATTCCCTGCGGCTGGAGGCGGGATTGTGCCTCTATGGCAACGACCTGGACGAGAACACCACGCCCGTTGAGGCTGGTCTTTCCTGGGTTATCGGAAAAGATCGCCGTGCTCTGGGAGGATTCATGGGCTCGGAGGAGGTTCTGCAACAGCTGAAGAATGGTCCGTCAAGGCGGCGCGTGGGACTAATCGTTGAAGATGCCCCTGCTCGTCGTGCGTGATTCTTGATCATCCTTCTATGTTATAAATATCTAATTAGCTAGTCCTTGTTAGAGGGTGCGAAGATTCTCACACCTGAAACATCAGACGAAATAGGTGTGTTATCTTTCGGCCAACCATATGCAGCGATGAACACTAGGGGTACGTAGGTGTTGTCACGTCAGGTATTCCGCTCGCTCCGACGGTGGGCAAGAACATAGCAATGGGTTATATCAAGTCCGGTTTCCACAAAAAGGGGACCGCGGTCATGGTGGAAGTGCGTAGGAAAGCTCGTCCGGCTCTCGTCACGCCTATGCCGTTCATCACAACCCGATATTGGAGAGGTTGAGCTGCTAGAAAATCTGATTACTGATGTAGGGCATTATCTCATTCATATTTGTCTACATTTTAGACGTACTCA